ACTCACTCATAACCCGACAGAAGTGCACCCACATCGGCCCATACTTCCCAACCCTCATCACACACAACAGCACAACATCACCAGACATAGTCCTAACCAATAATAAAATATTCCACAACATACACCTACAACCAGGACCCATCACACCGTCAGACCACATTCCAATAATAGCCACAATTTCTGCTAACCCCATACAAATTCCCATTCGCCCCCGCAGATCCTTCCATAGAGCCAACTGGACCTAATACAAACAAACACTATCCCAGTACACAGTCCCCACACAAACAAACCCTACTTTGGAAGAAATAGATACGCATTTAGACAACTGGACAAAACACATACAGGACGCAACCGACACTTCAATCCCCACTATAACGCACCGCATCATTCCCGGCATCAAACCTAATCACGAAACATTACTCATACAAACACAATATCAAGCTACACTCCAATACATCCACACACACGGACCATCAATTGCACTCAAAAGACAACTCATTACCCTACGCCAACAACTACAAACAGTATACAGACACATACAAACACAGACATGGCAGGACCTCATAGACACTCTAGAAACGCAAACAGATCCCAAAAAATTCTGGTCCTCACTAAAACGCATGCTAGGCTCCAACACCAAACAAACCATCCCATACCTCAAACACAACATACAACATGACACACCCGAACAAAAAGAACCCATCTTCCGCAAACACTGGCAGGACATATTCACACAGAACGACACAGACAACGAAGACTTTGACATAGAACACATTCACACCATACAAGACCAAATCAACAATAACATACACCTCATATATCCATACAATACCGGCGACCTTTCAAGACTCCACCCAGTAGACTTCCCACCCATAACCATCAGAGAACTACAACGTACACTAAAAACATTTAAACAGAAAGCACCAGGCCCCACTGGCATCACAACCCTCCAACTCAAACATCTACCCAAAAACATGATACACTACCTTCTATACATATTCAACTACTCCATCTCCGCTGGATACTTCCCCGACTCCCTGAAACACGCCATTATGATCTTCCTCCCCAAACCCAACACATCACAACACCAAGTTCAAAACTATAGACCAATTTCATTACTAGACATACACGGGAAGCTTTTGGCCAAAATACTCAACAACAGACTATATGAACACCTCACTTTCCACAACATACACAACACTAGGCAACACGGGTTTAGGAAACTCAGAGGGACACACACAGCACGGGCTAGCCACATTCCACGAAATATTCGCCATAAACACAGCACAAAAACACACCACCGACATAGTGCTCCGCGACGTGGCCAAAGACTTCGATAAGGTTTGGCACGCCGGACTACAACACAAAATCATCCAACTTAACCTCCACCCATCCTTCACTAAAACACTTGCAGACTACCTTACAGACAGAACAGCATCCATCAGAATAAGAAATCACATAGGTCCCCCACTCCAACTCCAAACTGGTGTACCCCAAGGGGCTTGTCTCTCCCCCACATTATATAGCTTCTACACACATGACCTCCCACCACCACTACCCAACACAGATTACATAGCATTTGCAGACGACATAACACAAATAACAACAGGACGCTACAAATACAACTATGCAGCACAACAAACACAACACGCCATCCAACAGATAAACACATTCGAAAACAAATGGCTAATTAGGACCAACACCACCAAGTTCGAAATCATCCCCATCAACAGACAAAAAACATCCGACATATTCATAGACAACACTCACTACCCATACTGCCATACACGAACAACGGTAAAGTTTTAGGTCTAAAATTCACAACACACGGTTTTAGGTCCCAAGTAACAATTAGGAAAGCAATAGCCCTCACAAATTTACATAAAATACACAGATTCTATCACCTCCCTCCAAATATAAAACGTACCCTATACCTCACCCTTGTTAGGTCAGCCCTCATTTATCCCCCAATACCCTACACACACTATCCAAAACAGCAATATCACAATTACAGAAAGTCCAAAACAAAGCGCTCAAATTCATCACAGACACACACTGGTCCGACTTCATATCCTCCCAAACACTACATGAACAATGCAACATTCCCACAATAAACACAGTCCTCCACCAACATGCTCGTAAAACCTGGTCCACCATCAAAACATACGATCCCCAACTTTTCAACCAACTCACATTCCCCCACACGCCATAGCAAGGCAGCACCGGCTATTCCACAGCTCAAAAATGCTCGCACTAGGTCCCCTACCTCCACCTCTCTACAAATAACTACACAGCGGACCATGCTGCACCCGTACGAAGTTGTTCATAATGCGGACGGGTGTAGCTGGTCCCAAAACGACACAACACTAAACACTCATGACACCATCGCACTGACGGACTGACGTTACTCACCGAGAGTGACGTACAGTAAAGACTCGACTAAAAACTTTGAATATACCAACCAACCCCTTACCTCTATCCGAGTCTCGAGCGACTCACCTACCGCCTTCATCTTCATCATCATCAATTACCATTATCATCATCCCCGCTCATTATCATATTCATCAAGAAAAATACCAAAAAAATAAATAAAAAATAAAAATTTAAAAAAAGAGCGAGAACGCATGTATATATATATATATATGTAAATAGTGAACCACCATCCCCCCATCACCCACCATTCGGACGTATCTAAAGCCCCGACGGGTTCCCCCCTCCCCTTCCCCAGCCCCAAATACCCCCAATCACCTACAACCAACCCAATTATGCGCAATGCGCCTTTTCATCTCCTACTGTCGTTTCCATTTCTCCTTCTTCTTTCTGGCCACTCTGCGCCACCTCTTGTTTTTTTCAACTCTTTCCTAGTGGCACCGCACACACACACACACTACACCTCTACTACACTGCTCTTCGTTTAAATTATGAAAGCAATCAAAAACTGGCAAATGAAATTCAACTGGTAAAATTTCCCCCCCTCCCGTGATTTTTGGGGAGTGTCTGTAATACAAATAATGTCAATATGCTCGTTTCCGATCACAGTTAACAGTTCATTTCTTTTGTTCAAAACGAAATCCGAGTTCGTGTAGAAACATTTCAAAACCTTTTGTGCACTTCCATCTTAACTCGATGCGAGAAGAAGTGTTGTCGCGTCGATTAGTTATTACACAGTTTATTTAGTTTCTAGCTGTCGGCATATATATGTCGTGCCGAAATCGCGGAATTGCCGATTACATGGAATCGGCAGCCAGTTGCCGAATCTGTAGAATCGAGGATTTTGTTGCTGATTCAGAAAATCGGACGTTAGAGTTAGAGTTAAAACGTAAATCGATAGTTAGAGTTAGAAAATGTTAGATCAAGTTCGCTCAAGTTAATTTATATTTAACTATAAAAAAATTTGGCTATTCCTATAGTATAGAAATGCTGATTCTTCTACAGATTCGGCAACTGGCTGCCAATTTCATGTCATCGGCAATGCCGCTATTTCGACACGGCATATTCATGCATTTAGTTATGCATGTGCAGACCAGCTCGCCCATGCACCTCCGGGAGGATTCTACCCACTGCCTTCCGCTGTGGGCTTGAAGGGAAGCCTCTGGGCAGTTTATAGGCTGGGTAGGTTAGGTCAAGCCCACTCTTACCATGCTCTCAGGAGACTATAAAGTCGGCAATGCGTCTCTGACTAGTCGCTGATTGCGGTTGAGTGGCCGAACAGACCCAGAATAACCTCACCACAACCGTAGCGAGTCTCTCGCAGTCTCTACCATACCTTAATTTTTGTTAATGTATGACGTCACGCAATTTCTATACTAGGCTGGCAGAGCAGAAAGGCAAGGGTTACATAATGGGGAACCTAACTGCCCTTCCCCCTCATTCTGTTGTACTTTTTCAGGCCGAGCAGTGCAACACCTCTGTATATGATACTGATTTAAAGTTCTAGCTTCCTCATCCGGTGTTACTGATCTACGAATTTTAGAATTATTATATATATTCAAACAGAAGCCTATTCCGAATGCTGCTTTCATCTCCTATCCCATTGAAATGGCAAATAGGCAAGCCAGTTTACTAGTGTTCATTTCATGCCGTCATTTGCTTGTTACCGTTTTAATACCTGACAATGGATTTACTTTACTAATTGATGGTATTTGTGTTTCTAGGACTTGTGCTATGAACTGACGATGGAGCTGGTCTCCGAAATAAAGAATAATATTTAAATAAATTTTCTTTTATAAAGAAACGGAGAATTTTTGTGGTATTGTCTATGCTTTTAAATTCCTAGTTAAATTTTCGTAGATTCTGATATTGTACTCGCTACGCACTGCAATCTAAGTGATCTCATTACCAACGACGACACCAGTCATAAGTCGATATCCACCACAAATTAGTGATGAATTCAGTTGAAACATGGCTATTTCGGGTAAAATTGGCTCCTTTTATTCGGTCTTATTTGAAGACCCGATCGTTGTATTTGCCTTCAGAGTTTAAGCTGATGCAGTTGATTTAGATCCTAATAAATCATGTGATGACAAATGTTTAGAGGAATATTTGATCAAATTGGTGGGATATAATTTTGAGCTTCATCCATATAGCTCAATGAGACATTTGAAAATCAGACATTTGCTAATTTTTTTGAATTTTTATTTGAGAACATTCACTGCCCGACAGAATGGTGAATAAACAAACAGATTGGTGCATAATTAACTCAAGATCGCCGGTTGGAATCCTCAAATGCGTTCTGTGACCAGTTCCGATAATATCACAACAGAGTCAACTACTCTTGAGTAATATTGAATAAGTGCAAACGGCTCATTACAGGATGGTTTTTGACTCCTAGGATGAGCCTTTTAACTAGGACCATAGGATGGACTCCTGGGCCTATACTTTCAAAAAAGATATCGTAAGATATCGTAAGTTCGTCAGCCAATCATTGACGGTCTTTCAAGCAAAATCCACCAATCATAGACAAGAAAATAGAGCGTAAGTATTTACGTTCACTTAGCGAATTTTGAAAGTATGGCCCCTAGCAAGCAGGGAGATTTGTTTGAGGATCGTAACAAAGCGTACACTCTTCGTCATTTGCGACACACGACATGCTGATGAAGCTTATCTCGCCGTTATCGATGATCATCTCCGCACAGTCATGGTCAGGCATCAATTCATTAACGAAATACACGTCAACAGTCGGTTCCATGCTCGGCATCCAGCGCCATACCAAGTCTTCGCCACGACGAATGTTAATCCAGTAGTAAATTTGGTCTGAGAATAAACGAGAATATAAGATTGCATATTGAACGATCAGTTGTTCTGTTTGCGTCATTTACTTGATTTATCTAATATTCCAATATATCATATCAACGGAACAGTTCCGTACTTCCGTTGCAACATAAAAGATTCGATCGAATTGTTGTGATGCTGCTGAGCTCGACCATGGAGTTTCGATTCATCTTTTCACTGCCTCACAATATTATAAATATTGTAAGTGCAATCCTAACTGAAATATTGTCTACTCACTTTCTGGAAGGACAGTCGGGTCGCCGATGACGCTGTAGTTGTAGTACAGTTCCCGTGAGGCCATAGGAAAACCTCGCGCCTCGCACCGCATCTGTGCCTCACAGAAGCCGACGTTGTCGGCAGGGCATTCCGCTACCTGTATTAAAAAACTGTATTAATAGAGCAGAAAATGCCTCATTTTCATCGGTTTATATCGCTCACAGGAAATCATTACGTTGTATAGGAAATGGATTTATTGCTGTATATATAATTTTTAAGTTGAAATATATTAAGTTTAGGATTTTGGTTTTTCATTTTTAGTTTTCAATCATCTTAGCCGTGACCTCCAGCAGTTTTTCGTTTTGTCTATCATTATGTCTAGAGTTCTTTCCGTGGAGGTACGTCAATCGATAGCTCTGTGATTATATTTGTGATCGTTCAATTTTTGAGTGAATCGTTTTGTGTTATTGATTATTTGTGCGAGTTATTTTGCTTATTATATATTCATATTCTCTAGTTAGGTATTCCAAGCGTTATTTTTGCTCTATTTCAGGGAGGCCTCGATCATTGGACTTCTGAAATAAATTGGAAGTGATTGAAACACACGGTTATGGTTAGGATTCGAGTTAGGGTTAGGTTATAAGGGTGTTAGGTTTTTTGTTTTGTTTCTATTTATTTTTCGTTAGTTATATGTACTTTTAACTTTTAATTTGTTAAAAATTATCACTGCTTCCGCTACCTCCACCTCCATAATAAAGGCGAATTTTTTAGTACACCAAACATTCCCCTGCTTTCGGATCACGGAGAGTGAATATTCCCGCCACTTCACTCCCAGAATGTACGCAATCTAACTAGTTAAAAGAATGTAATAATTTAAAAGTAACTCAAACGATCAAAATAGAACGTCAGGAATGAATAAGCATCAGTCAAATTGCCACTAAACTGGATGTTATCAAGTTTACTAGTTTACAACAATTACCAGGCAGTATCCGTTGGCAGCCTGAGCACAGCACGTGTCTTTCGGTGGCAGCACGAAGTCCGCGACGCGACGTCGGTTCTGGTCTGAAATGACGAAGAAAGTTCAGAGTATTACTGTACAATGTTAATGTGGTTAGAATATCATGGAAAAAAACTAACTAAATAAAAATAGCACCACCCAGTTAGAAATTCATGACTGTTCGCCAAATTTATAAAGTCGTGGCTGGCGGTCGAAACGTAGATTCGGCGTACGACCAGTGACCACATCGCCGAATATGAGGCATAGAATAAACTAGAACTTATTGCATCGTGCTGCACTTATTTCAGGTCGTGAAGGGGAAACACACGGTCTGTAACTGCTGAAAGTTCTTATAGATCTTCGTAAATTCGGGTTTGAAGCGACCTGCTCTGAACATTTAATCAGCATTGCTAGTTAAGCAGACAATGATGTTCCATTTCTGAATCAATGGTGACGTGAAATAAAACATCCCGGATACTGTTCACTACTGGGGCGCAGCCGTAGGCCACAAATTTTAGTCATAAATAAGCCGTTGCGCCAACGCCCAGCCTCACCATGCATAAATTTTACTCAGCCTCAGAGCTAGAAGCCACTGAGCACTGACTACGCTTGAACCCTCGACCCTCGACGCACTGCCGAAAGATAATAGCGCCGTAGGTCTTCAGCCAATGCAAGCATATGCTCGCTCATAAGCAAGCAGTTCCACATCCGGCTGTACCTACTCAGACCTAATCTCTGCACCACTCAGGCCTGCACCCTTCACGCTGTCCCGGCTCACAACCTTTTTGCAGCCAATGACTGGCTCTACTAACCCAATAGACAGCCTCTCTGACTTCATGCAGCCAGTAAGGTTAGGTTAGGCCCGCTCAGGTTTCTTTTGGGAGGGATTGGGGGAAATGTTGCAACTTGTTTAGGTGAGACTGGAAAGAGGTTTGGCCATGCTTACCGTTGGCAAGCTAAGTTGTTGCTGTGGACATACGGTGCTATGATTTTGAGCACTTGACTTCATAGGCTGTTTTGCTCTCTAGAGTTCTTACCTACGGAAAGGAATATGAAATAAATGTGCAGTTTGGCAAAGCTGGTCTCCGGCATGCGCCCACCGCCACACGGCATTTCTGGATTATTACGTTGCCGTGTTATTTTGCCAATTATTTAAATCGTAGCAGACGCCCAGAATGGGATATGAGTATTAATCTGCGTCTCAGACATCCTCGCGACGACAGATGAAACAAATAGTAGATAACTCCTCACTATTCCTGGAACAGATTCCGGAAGCGAGCGCGTGAGAAGAAATAAGGAGGTATCAGGGGCACCAGACGAGCGTACTTTGAACTTTGACGTGAACTCGTTGCACTTTGATCGCGAGTGGCAGGCGACTAACAGGTTTAACCCCAGCTTCGAGTAGCGAGGAAGCATTAAGGTAGTATTGCCTGGGATACTGGACTCAGCTGCATGGGGGTCTCGACATAACGAACGAAGTTGGTTGGAACGAGATTACTATAACTTATCAGAAGTTTTTAGTCTCATACAACAACAGACAGTCGAACTTCAAACTTATGCGATATGGCCATGTACAATGACGGAAAGAGTGTAATGTGTGCCTAATTTTTTACTTTGTACACGTACTATGTACCTAATTGTGACCTTGGACCCGTAGTTTGCTCTCAAGTCTGTCTCAGTTCCCATACCTTGTGCTAGAGTCAGTCCCTTTAGCATGCTTTGTACTCAATTCTAACTCTGCACCCGAACTTTGAACTGAAGACAGACCCAACACTCGTACTTTGAACCTTGCAACAATACTTTGAACGGAAAGCTTATCATATACCCGTACTTTGAACAGAACGCTTTCTATGCACGTATATATATAGTGTAGTTAGGCAGAAGATTTTCTTTTATGCAAGTTTGATTGAAGACCAGAGCATGCTTTTTATTAACAATCTTCTTATTCGTTTTTTCAATGAGTCGAACTAAATTTCTTGCTGGCGTCGGGAGATCGAAAAGCAGGTTTCCGAATGACATTTTAATAGTTTGCAACGTTTCGAAAATACAATTTTCATTATCAAGCTGGAGATGGTTTTACAACATTTGAAATTGAATTTGAAATGACTGAAGTACATATGAATGGTATAGTGGATACAATAAAATAAATAATGTGGAAACAACAAAATATAAACTTAAAATTACTCTGAAAATAATTTCAGCGTCCGGACGAATCCAGTAGTTTGGAGGTTGATAGCCGGAGACTCATTTTATTGTATCCACTATACCTTTCATATGTACTTCAGTCATTTCAAATTCAATTTCAAATGTTGTAAAACCATCTCCAGCTTGATAATGAAAATTGTATTTTCGAAACGTTGCAAACTATTAAAATGTCATTCGGAAACCTGCTTTTCGATCTCCCGACGCCAGCAAGAAATTTAGTTCGACTCATTGAAAAAACGAATAAGAAGATTGTTAATAAAAAGCATGCTCTGGTCTTCAATCAAACTTGCATATATATATAGCTGCACCTTGAACTGAAGACGGATTTCGCACCCGTACTTTGAGCTGACTTGGCACTTGTAATCTGATCTCATGTCTGACCCTATACACGTACTTTGAACTGAAGGTAATCCTCGTACTTTGCACACATGTCTGACCATTCAAACGTACTTTCAACTCAAGACTAATTTGCACTTGTACTTTGATCTTAACTCTGACCTTACACTCGCATTTTAAACTCAAGGCTGCTTTTGCACCATTCTCTTGAACTGAAGTCTGGCCCTATACACCCGTGCTTTGCCCTCAAATTGAGCCTATAGCACCTCTGCTTTGCACTTAAGGCAGTGCGCATTGACATTTCCCTGTTAACAATGTTGGTTTTGAGTGCATCGACAGCTCAACAGTTTATATGATGTAAACAATAGATATAAAATATGATAAAACCTACCGCCGTAGGTGACGCCAATGTCGGTGCACTGAAGACATCCGATCCGCTCGTTCATATTGTAGAGCTTGCCTTCGAACTCGCACAGTTCTGAACTCGGGCGAATAAATTAAATATTTCATATAATTCGATAATATATAAAATTTATAACAATTAGAAAAATTATGATAGCGACGCTACTTGTTGGTTTAACTTTAAATCAACTGTAGCTGGTTTGCCATCGAAAAATTGTACAAACATTAAAAATTGAGTCTGCTATGAGATTTCAATAAATATAAAAGTCACAAATGAAATTTTCGTGCAAATAGTTTTGACTGAAATGCTGAGCTGGTTTAGAAGCTCCCAACTGGTCATTATCAGCCTTTATACTTGAGAACTCAATATAACTTTCAAAATGATCGGCTAGCGCGTTTCGTGAGCTGCACAGTACATATTTATGCACAAAATATCAGTATCGTTAATTTGGCAAGCCTTTTGTTGTAGATGCAGTAATGCATAAACGACGAATATATATATTATAATAAGATAGCCAATATATATACAGTATATATTGGCAATGAGTAGCCATTAACAGTGGATATGTGACGAGTTAACTGATTTGTAAATGTAAAATGCATGCACTTCACTTAATAACAAAGAATAAAGTCATAAATGCACACCATCAAAATTAATACAGTATGCGTACAGTGACTCGCAAAAGCATTGGATACATTACAGTTTTCTCCATATCTCAATTCAAAGTTCGAGACCTTACCTATTATTTGGTCAGTATATTGCTAATGGCACTAGAAACATATAGAAAGGATATCGAAAAGTAAGCATTGTTTAGATTTTTTTAACAAAATATAACATTATCTCACGCGAAAGTATTGGGTACATGTTCCTAAATGAAGAAAACAAACTTTTTGAAAGTACACAAAATCCGTTTTTCACTTTAGACGTTCCGCTCATCGCATATCGTTATCTAATTTGTCAATCAGAGCAGTTTGCTATTGTTTACAAGATTTTGTGTTCCAGTGAAGATATTATTCAGCTTCATCTTTAAAAATTAATTTAAAATGCCTAAAACTCGAGAGTTGGCGTCAGATATTCGTCAAAAGATCATCGATTGTCACAAGAAAGGTTAATGGGTTTCGAATAATAACCAAGGAGCTTGATCCATCAATAAGTACAGTTAGAAATATCAAGAGGTACAAAAATTCTGAGCACGCTGTTGCAAACCTTTCAAGACTTGGTCGTTCAAGAAAACTAACAGACGGTAATGCAAGCTAGATTAGCTGAAAGATACTGAAGAACCCGTTTGTTATTCGTGGTGACATTAAAATCGATCAGAAGGAAGCTGGGATTGATGTATGAAAGGACAGAAGAAGCAAAGCTCTAAATCGTACTGGTCTTATTTCAAGATTCCCAAGAGAGGATTCAGCGTACATCGCTAGATAACTACTTTTATATTTGGGAAAAGTGTAGAAAGAATGCATACTAGCGCATCAACGTAGCCGTTGGTAACACTTATTTCCGGTAGATCATAATTGCAATGCCGGCTCACACAGCTCACTCATATTACAGTCGCTGCTCCAGCAGGATCGTTGTAAGCTGACTAACTTAGAAACATTGCCTTTACGATTGCCTTTGTCTCTAGTTTTGCTCAATGTATAGTGTAGCCGTGGTTGATGGAATCTGGAGACAGTGCAAGGTTTTGCGTCAGTCAATTTTGCCGGGCCTTAAGCTCACGCGATATTTATAACCTGCTTACTTACCAAATCGAATCGTGTGTTCAAAATTAACAAAGCTCTGTTTAGCAGCAGCTTCACGTCAGCAACAGCAACGCACAAATTGCTGCCCTTGTAACATCACTACAACAACACGTGCAACTCCATGTCCTCTCGCAACAACACGTGCAACTCCACGTGTCTATTGCTGCCCAACGTGAACTCCAGGTTCATCTCTCTGCGCCACGTGCATCTCTCACTACGATCGTTCATCATCAAGCAGGTCACGTGAGCTAAGAATAAACTCCGGTAATTATTAATTTTTCATTAACCAACCAATTTCAGCAGGCCGCCCTAGTTGATTTCAATCTGTTCCTATTAGCAGGGCTCTTTTTACCCAGGCCTTATAAAAATACCCGAAACTGAGTAAATAATTTAATGTGGTCGGGTGCTTGCCCCAACAAAGTTCCTCTGTTGAAGTTCCGATACATAAAAGCCCGTTTGAATTATTTTAAATCATACCGGGAGTAGCCACAAGTATTTTAGGATAAGGTAATCTGGTCGGACGAAACGAAAATCGAACTTTTCGGAACGAATTCAGCTACCCGGGTGTGGCGGAAAAACGGCTCAGTGTTCAACAAGAATACCATTCCTACCGTGAAGTTTCGTGGCGGTTCGATCAGGATCTGGAGGTGTTTTTGTTCAAAATGTCCTGTTGAATTGTGAATTATTGATGGCAGGATAAATAGGCGGATGTTTAGGAAGATTTACGAAAAAAACACTCTTAAAATCTGCTAATTCATTAGGATTTGGACGTGCTTTTGTGTTTCAAGGTGACGATGATCCCAAACATACAGCCAAGCTCACGAAAATATCGCTTCAAAATAGGGAGATTTATGATCTTTCTTGGCCTCACAATCTCCAGGCCTCAACCCCATTGAGAAGTTGTGGAAATAGTTGAATATCAATGTTCACAAAAAGAACACAAGCAATATCCAGTAACTAAAAGATTGCTGTACAGAAGAATGACACAAAATATCTGCAAATGTATGCAAAAAAGTGCAATTACAAGAAGCGACTGGAAGCTGTACAACAAAATGAAGGATGCGCAACCAAATATTAAATTGTTGTATCCAATACTTTTGCGTTGGTTAATTTTCTATTTTGTTGAATAAAATCTAAACAATGCTTACATTTCAATATCCTTTATATAAAATTTCAAGTACCATTAGCAATATCCTGACCGAATATTAGGTAAAATCTCGCACTTTAACTTGAGACATGAAGAAAACTTTAATGTATCCAATACTCTTCCGTTCAAATTTATGTGCTTATACACGGGGCTATTATTTGCGTATATTGGTTGCGTCTACTACAGTTTTGCAGGCTGAGAGCCTATACACGAGTATAGTGATTTCGGTACACTGCGCCCGCATCAGTGCGACGTTTGGAGTTGTCGAGTAAGGGTGTGCACGGTGGAGTCATGCGAGAGCAAGACAGCAGTGCGCGCTACTGTGGGCGAGAGAGAGCGACGCAGCTATACTCGGTATGACAGCCGGGCGGCTACTGAGCGCAATACACTGCTTCAAAACAACTCGAGTTGCCTTGCCTGCAAAGAACCAGCTAGTTGCCTTTAAACACGTCAAATTTTAGTAGCCTGGCCTAGTAGACGCAACCAATATACGCAACTAATAGCCCCGTGTATAAGCACCTGATCATGTCGGCAATGTTAGCTTACGCAGGAGTTGTCCGTTGAGCTGACACACGTCGCGCAGGTCAGCGTACTGAGCGTTGGGGAACGTCGCCCCCGTCGCCACCAGCGACCCGTTCGCCAGCACGCAGCCTCGAAGTGGGAAACACAGACACGTTATTCTTCCTAAAATATAATATTTATTCATTTCTCCCACGTATAAATGTATAAATCAGGAAAAAACCTTCAATGATTTTCAAGCAAATACTAATAAAGCGCCACCAGTGACCCGTTCGCCAGCACGCAGCCTCGAGGAGAGCAACATAGACACGTTAGTCTTCCTAAAAACATTATATTAATTTCTCCCACGTATAAATGTATAAATCAGCAAATAAATAACCCCTTCAATGATTTTCAAGAAAATAATAATAAAGCGCCGCATTCGCTTCGATGTTCACTGCACTCACCATCATCTTGGTAGAAGAGCTTGCAGTGAGATTGTTGTGTTCCTGAATCCGCGGTAAGATTAACTGAGGCTTCATATCCCCAGAGGGAACATTCCCCTGCCTCCTGCATGGGCGTGTAACAGGCTACGTAAACCCAGTCCAAAGTCGTGGCCCGGTTCATGCATTGTACGATGGAGCGGAGGATGTAACTGGAGTTTTGAACTGCTATCGTCGCGAGGAAAGTCGTGTTCACCGCCACCGACTTCCAAGCTTTGAAGCGTCCTTCACACTCCAGGATAAGGAGCAAGCAGCAGAATGTCGTCAAGAGTAGAGATAAATAACCAAAAAAGAAAAACTTTGATGGTGGGGTCGAATTTAGACCGGGACTTGTAATCAGCGACCGCATAATTTATAATTTTTTTGTCCAAGGTTTGAATTAATTGGCTGCGTCTGCTATAGCATTTACCATTGTGGTCATTACCGAACGACTCACAGCATCCGCCTTCTGTGCCAAGAAAATAATTATAAATAATAAAATACAGTACCTCATGAATTATATAATAACGCGTAGCATGCGAAGTACATGTAGCCGCAGATTTCTCGTCTGTGATTCGTGGGTTTAGCTAGAAAAGCTGTTAGTGATCGGCTGGCGGAGTTACGAACTCGTAAATATTATTGGGCTTTCGAGGTTGGATTAACAGAAAATATTATTTTCAGTCATGTTCATCTTTAACGAATGAAATGATGACCATCATCATCAAAACAACACTTTATTTCGATTTGTAAGTTTGTAGTGAACGTTTCAAAAATGTATCATTTTATTTTGGTATTAATTTAAAAATAGGGCATGTTTAGGTTCAACGGTTAAAGCGTCTCGACACCATTGGAATATTGCTAACAAATATTTATAAGTTAAGGTCCTAAATACATAGCTAATACAAGTTCTAGTCGAAAAGGTTGATGTAGATTCTTGCTCGATCGACTAGGATGAAACCCCATTCAGAGTGAGCAACGTGGAGGGCAATGTCGCGTCGCGCAACACCTATGCCGACTTATGTCAGCTTTCTATGCCGACTCAGCGAAGATCTTTGCAGTTTCTGACTCCGATAATTTGTTAGATCGAATAATCTGCATCGAACGATGCCAAATCTACAGCAGTGGGAGTTGAATATGAATTAATCGATGTCGAATATCCATTGATCTACATCGATCAGCATAGACACGTTTATAGTCTTCCTAACGTACCGAGTAGCTTTTGTGTCCATTTAGTTAGGATAAAAATATGATTTTTCCTATGTGGCAACTTTGTTGACTTTTTTTACCTAATAATTTCTAACGAACGCCTGTGTCGCGTTTACAAAAAAAGAGAAATGTTTACGAAAAGCAAACTTCACGCCAGCTCAGTAGATTTTGTTTTTTGGAAATTGGAAACACCGAAGTCGCTTCAAAAATCGGACGCATTGAGAATCTCACGCGGAGGTTTCAACTATTTTTTGCTCTTGTATTTTAGTTATAGAAACGTGCAGAATTTGGTGTCTGATTGCAATAACATGTTCAAATTCCTGTGAATTACGCGAAGCACGAATGAACAGCACGAAGTACGGAAAATTGAGTTAGTCTGAGTGCCTGTTTCAGACCGATATTTCTCATTTTTACCGATTACATTCTGATTCTGATTATTTTGTTATGAATTGTGTCTCTCGAAAGTGATCAGTATCGAGTGAATGCATGAATGTTACAATGCTGCAGCACAGCATCTTAACAATTAATTACAAATATTGTCGGTTATTTGTTTAGAGTGAGACACTCCGCTTTAAAGAATGCCACCACAGAGTGAGGGTTGACGTAATTCAGTCGATAGAATAGAAAGCCCATTCAAGTAATATTAGTCATTGTATTGTTTCCAAATTGTAGTGATATCAAAGACGAGAGCTCGTGTTTTTCGTTTTGACGAAGTGATGTCTGATGGAAGCTTGCCCAAGAAATGGTCATTTTTAAATATTCTTTCTGTGAGCTCATTATTTTCCCGCCAGAGGGGCAGACCAGGCATTGCCATTCAAACAGGGTACGCCTGTTTTGACGTCGTGTGATTGGTGCCGCTGAGAATGTTGCGAAAAGCCCGCGAAAGTATGCCTGGAGAGAAACTGACTTGAAAGAGAATGTTTCAAATGTGCCTGTTTTAATTTATTAGTATTGGAGCGTAACTTGTTAATTTCACAATATGGTATTATTTTTCGCAGGTATCGTAAATATATCACTGTATTAGTCTGGTTCGCTTATAGTGGATTTACTGAGCCATCAAGCAAACGTGAGTAACCAATGTTCCTATAGGGAGAAATTTCATGAAAGTTGTGATAGTTTTGACCAGTGTGGAATTCTGGAAAGGTAATCTATTCTCACGTAAATGTAACAAAATGGATGAAAAAACACGTTACACCTTCCAACGCAATGACAAGTGATACACTGAGCTTATTAGAAACTTCCGCGGTTCTGCTATCGTCCGATTTACCGACTGCATGTGGATCTCCGGGTCGGCGATGCCTTTCTCGAAAGAATTCACTAGACGTTTATCCGTAACTGACCAACTTTTGATATGAATAAGTTCTAAAATAAAAGAAAATTACACCAAATTTCGTAGAAATTTCACAGGATTTCACCAATATAAACAAGGTCTTCAATACCACACGAAATGATAAGATAAACTGCAATTCTTTCATGGCATATCGCACATCGTGAAATAATGTGAACATATGATGAGAAGAAGCCCCACTTATTGTTTGGGTGATATCAAATTCGATTTCACAATAAATAGATTTGATCCACACTGAGATTGAAATAATGGAAAGTTGTTTCAAATTTAATTACCTCATGATACTCGTCCTGATATGAATTTTTCCATGTTTTTGCTCGATTTTGTCGCTATTGTCTAACTAACTTCACTTCAGATTCTGAATGATTTCGTCTCATATCGCGATTTTTCGAACATCTCATGTCGTTTTGAAATTGTTCGTTGCATTGAAGCCAGGGTTGGCGATTTTTTTTATTTTTTTAAAAAAATCAAAAAAATCAAAAATCAATGATTTTTTTGATTTTTTCATGATTTTTTTGATTTATTTGATTTTTTTGATTTTTTCACCTTTTTTGTCTTTTTTGAGGTGTTATTTTTTATGTTGCAATTAGCCTACTAACAATAACAGTATATGGATCACAATGGATGGCTAAAAAGGGCACTTATTGCCTCCAATAATGGCCAACAGGCCAAGGTGGTGTTTACCACTTAAAGATTTTTGGGTAAACAATTATTGATAAGTCTATTCATTAGCTTTGTAAAGTTTGTATGGAGCAAGGTAATGAGCTAAATATTGACCATTTAACTGGCTTCAATATACAAAAAACACTTCAGGAATGCAGATCTCCTAAACATTAGAGTCACATAACAGAAGAGTCACATAACAGATAGGTAGCTGATTGCACAGTGCACAGCACTATCGATAGATCTACTAGTTTTATGTCCTATAAATCTACCAGACTCTACCTTCTATACATACCAACTAGTAGTGACTGAGTGACTGACTGCACTGTTCCCATTTAATTCAGACCAATAAACCAATACTAAACATAAACTGAATGATAACCAAACAAACCTCATACGACTTGAAACGAGACTTAAGTTGTGAGAAAAGCTAACACTGTTTGAAATAAACATGTGCACAATTAAAATATTTTATATCCATTCACTGCATTTAATTATTTTATATGTAGTCTTATAATTGTAATTGTTTTGTTTCTAGTTTTAAATTCACATATTCAAAGATTGAAATTAAATATTTTAATTAGAATACCGTACTCATATTAGGGTGGAAAATCTTTCTAATTGCCTAAAAGGTCAATACAATCTAAACCTCTCAATATACAGGGTGGAGCAGAACCGATTGAGCAGTTTTGAGGTAAAATAAAAGAGTAATGGAGGAACATAAAAAAGAAAGTTTATTTTCTTAGAGGTTAGCATAACATACCATTTAGAATAGGTACTTATGTTTTGAAAACAATATTTGGAAGATGGGGCTGTTAGCTGCAACACACTGTTGGAGTCATTCTCAGAGGAGAGAGTAACCATGACAGTGAATTCCGATTGCTATGCTGCAATGTTGCAAAATTTCTTGCAGCCCATGATGGAAAACATTGTTGAAAATGAAGCATTGAGAGATGTGTGGTTCCAGCAAGATGGGGCTACAGCTCACACAGCTCGAATGTCACTCAATGTTTTGAAACGCATGTTTCCTGTAGGTCTGGTGTCTCTGAGGGGTGATTAACATTGGCCTGCGAGGTCACCTGATTTGAGCATTTGCGATTACTTTCTTTGGGGACACCTAAAAGAAAGGGGTTCAGAAGTCGCCCTCACACCCTACCACAGCTAAGGGAACAGATTATTGCAGCAGAGGTTATGGCCATACCTAGCCATATGTGTGAACGTGCTGTAGAAAACTTCCGAGAACAACTCCAACAGTGTGATGCAGCTAACAAACCCCATCTTCCTGATATTGTTTTCAAAACATAAGTATTTTATATGGTATGTTATGCTAATCATGAGGAAAATAAACTTTCTTCTTTATGTACCTCCATTACTCTTTTATTTCGCCTCAAAACTGTTCAATCAGTTCTGCCCCACCCTGTATAAGCTAGCTAACACATTTAAATTGTATATTGTAATCAATATATAACAAATAGTCAAATAGTTAAGACTACTTATAGCCTTTTAGGAATTAGCTAAGCTGCTTGCTACGTACAATGTATTGCACTCTTGATGCCTCTGTACCAAAAAAATGCCATTTATTGGAACCTAATACACACTAAAGGCAACAAGTTTATATACCAATTTGTCATTCATAGTACATTTATACTAAACCATGAATAACAATACCTCAATATAAATTAAAGACTGCTACTCAATATTTTTATATATATGAAAAAAATAAAAAAAAAATCAAAAAAATCGAAAAAATCAAAAAATCATGATTTTTTTATAAAAAAATCAAGTGATTTAATCACTTGATTTAATCATTTTGATTTAATCATTGCCAACCCTGATTGAAGCGGCAATTGTTTTATTATATAAATCACAGAACGCTGAGGCATGTGCCATGTGATGTATTAAAATTTGATAGCGGTGACGCATTCAAAATTTCAATCTCCAAAAATTCGTGTATGAGAATTCAAAATTCATGATTTGATTCGTGAACAAATTCGATTGATAAATGATTTTATAGATAGATATATTTGATGCAAAAGTTAATGATAAGTTAATATAAGAAACATTATTTAAAACGGTTTCACAATTTATAGCTTTTTCATACTCAAGTATTAGCATATTACAGACAATGTCTAATGTATGGAAAGGCGATGATATCCACAACTACCAGCGATTCAAACTAATTTAAGCATATATCTCACAGCACAAGAAATCGGCTACATAAAATAGCCAACTACGCTGAGTATAACCTGT